CCTTCTCGAAGGGCTCGTCCTGAGAGCTATCGATGCTTGAGCGCACTGCCTCGTTCTTCTGGTACGCGCCTTCCAGCGCCGCTCGTTCGGAGGCGATGGCCTTCGTGCATCGCAAAGCCGCCGTAGCGGCAAATGAGACCGCGATGGCGCTCAAGAACGTCCATGAACGGGCCGAGCTCCGTAGTCGCCAACTCGTGCGGAGCTTGTAAATCAGGCGGCACGTCAAGCTTCTTGGCACAGAGCTTGTCGAGGCCGACGACGAAGAGCTCGCTGCTAAGTAGCCGTCGATACAGCGAGCTCGAGACTACAGTACTAGTAGGTCGGATAAGCTCAAATTGCTTTTCATTTTTGAGTAGCAACTCGCAACCACCATCAATAGCCTCGCCAAAGCGGTCCCAAGTCGTCGGGTAGGTCGTCGACGACCGTGTACTGGTAGAACCAGTCGCCACCGCGCTTGTGGTTGCACAAAAATGTCTTCGATGCACTTGACGACGCCGGTCGTACGTGGGACGAAGGCCGATATCGTCGTCTGGACGAAAAACGCTTGGCTTTAGCGGAGTCGTCGCGGATGGCGCAGTACTCATTCCACTTGACCGGGTGGTAGTCGTAAACACCGTAGCATGTAGAGTAGTCTGCGTCAGCGTGGCTGGCTTTGGCACCTTGGCGCGGCCCGACTTTGCCGAGCTCTTGGTCTTCGCTGCGGCCCCACGTGCCATCGCAAGCGCAAAATAGCCTCCGAGCTTGTGTGGAAATCCAATCCACCACTCGTTTGGCATACAAAAAGCAAGCTTAATTTTCTTGGATACTCATTTGGTCTAGAACTTGGAGACAATTGGAAAAAACGGAAAAAATCCAAGATTGCAGAGGCCTGGGCATGACTGTATGTGCATGTCTTAGTGCGGTACCGTGCGCCGGTATGTGGCCAGATGTGGACATTCTACCATCACACTATCACTCTGTAGTTGCATGTACGGTACCCTGTAGCTCATTTCAACGTGGATCGAACGGGAAATGCGCGATCCGGACACGTCGCATTCCCTAACATCAGAATACAAGTCTAGACCAATCAAATTGCGGAAGGCCAGGTGATACCGGCGAGTCACCAAGCCACTTGCACGCAAGACAGCAATCACATACGAGCGCCCTCATGATGAGCAAATGCTCATATTGATGATACACGTGTACACCCGTACTAGTATATCAGCTCAGTCGTTCGAGCGAGCGGCACCACGCGCTCCGCGTCACGACAGCATAATTTTTATCATGTTAACACCGCTTGCAATAATAAAAAGGTGTCAAAAGAGTTGGTAAACACGCACCGGTGAAAAGATACGCGTACCTAACAGTGTAAACAGTACTCGTACTCAACGGTAGCCAAAGCGGCCGCCACCTTGACGGCATTTCGCAGGTGCGGATCCTTCTCTTTTGAGTCTTCAGTCGCGTCCTTGCGAGAGTTGAAGGTACAGTTCGCCGCTTGCCTTTGTCGCTGCGTCGGGTTCCTAAAGACACTCCGGAGTTCAGGATAAACCCCATGCATGCCCTTAGAGTGTTTACGGCTTCACTACAGGAGATTTTAGATTTATATTGAAAATTATATTCCGCGCACCAGCGTACGTATCTCGCTCGCCCACTCAATGCTTCCCGGCGTTTGTGGATCGCAAAACTAGTGCAGAGTACTAGGACGAACTCCAACGCCAGAACCAGTCGCAGACAACGGCGTCGCGTCCTTGGCGCGAACCGTTCTGGCGACCAAGAGTGTATCAAGTTCGCGCACTGAAAAATCAAATCTGACTCGTTTCGGGCTTCCAAATGCGCGAGTTTGGGACGCGACGCGTGTCTTTCCGTTCCGCCCGTTGCACATCAGTGAAATTGGGTGAACCTTGGCTTCTACGATTGGGCTGTCAACGTCGAAAGTAGGCAGCGTGGCCAACTCAAATCGTCAAATCACCCGATACACGGAGCACATGGGCAATGATCCATCGACGACGCGTCCGCTGCCGACCGCACCCAGGGGGCCTCTCGCCCTCTCGCTGACTGTACGACATATATACATTCGCATTCTCTTATCGCTCGATACTGACAGGTCGTACAAGCCAGAGGACTGCGGCACACGAGCTTCTGGGGCATGGATGCACCTTACTGCGCCGTACAGCTCGCATCAAGAAAGCACAAGCGATCTGTATTTGAAGCAGAGACCAGGATTGACCGCGAAGAAGGCGGTTTCTGGAACGAGACTTTTCACATCCGCGTCGACGACCCGGCGGCTGAGACTGTAATTCTTCGCATCGTCAATGCAAACGCATGGATCAAGGAGGACGTCGCGGTGTGCGCGATCCCGCTCGCCTCGTTTGTTCATGGCTGCATCGAGGATATGTGGCTTCCACTATACACGCCGACGCACCGAAGGGCCTCCTCGTACGTCAAAACTCAAAACCAGAACAATTCTGACAGGCTCGCAATTTAGGGAAGGCGAGGTCCGTGTACGCATCCAACTACATGGCGATTTGCGCAGCTATCGCCAAGCGTACTATCAGTCCAAGTACACTTATTTAAAGTAATTCGTTTTATTAATAGTAGTTTATCGTATAAGGGCAGTCTTTTTCTGCAGCGCTACCACTCCGTCAGGACACGACAAGACTAGAAGGTAAACGTGTTTTTTATACCAAGAAATGTAGTCATCTGCAAGCCCATCTCAGTGAAGGGCCTCGCTCGGATCCGGAGGTTGGCACGTACGAAAGCTGGTTTGCTTGCTGCTCACGCCCCCGACCTTCCGGTTCATTGACGGCAAGTCGCACAGCCCGTTCGACCGGCAAAGGAGTGTATATTGATACTGCCCTACCGAGAAAGGACTCACAGCCCGTTCGAGACCAGCATCGGCACCGGCACACCACAAGGCGACTCATTGTCGCTGACGCTGCTTATTGTGTAGATCGACACCGCAATCGCGAATCTCGCGCAGACGCTCGACGAGAAGGCGAACCTCCTCGGCCGCTCCGTCACCCACGCCGACGACTCGGATCTCATCTGTCACGGCGGCGCTGTCATGGCGGCTACAAAGGCCGCAGCGCCTTCCGTCTTCGCCCGATGGGACCTCAATATGAACAAAGACAAGACGGACACAGATATTCAGGTCGAAGCAGTTCGACGCGCGAACACAAGCCACCTCATTGGTGTGGCACACGCAGTACCAAGAAGCTCCGTAGTCTCCTCGACGTCGCGGCGGATTTGCGTGCTTGGAGGCGGCTCGCGACGTAGGCGCTCAACACGTACAAGAAGGTCTGGATGCGTCTGGGCCATATCGCGGAAGACAACCGTGTGCGGCTGTACAGGTGCCACGTACTGCCGCGAATCATTTTTTATAATTGTGGCGCGTAGACCTTGAATCCAACGAGCCAGGCGAGCTTGACGGCTTTCATCGTCAGTAGCCGCATCGGTTCTTTCATTTCTTTGTTTCTTACGGTATCTTTTACCCTAACACGCCCGCCGCGTCGTACTATATTGGCGCCGCTGAGTGAGATCAGCGCGGGCACCTGCTGGGCCACGTGCTGGGGGTGACAGACGATGTCCCTGTCATCGCTGCTACTGCCCGTTTCGTCGCCCTGTCTGTGGGGCCTCGCGTTTTGGCCGTGCACGCGTTGCCGCAATGTCGCCGCTCGTTGTACACTGGGACCTCCTATCGTTAGTGTCTGTCGAGAGTCAACAAACTGCTTAATTTTTCTGCCGATCGCGATACTTGGAAGCCAAAAACCGCTCGGAAGACAGCGGCTTGATGTGCAAAGCGTGCGTAAAGAGGGGCTCTGGCCGCGCCACGTCGGCAACATCAGGTACTCCAGTCTTACGCAGTCATGGTCGAGCCACCGAATGAAGTAGAAGGGAACTAGGGTGAGCCCAGTGGCGCTCTGGCCACACATATTGCGATGATGTAGTTGGTAAAATGGCTATCATGCAGCGAAGCTCGTATTTGTACGCTTCTTTTTTCCATATGGTAGCGAAGTGCCCGGTATTGCCTTGTCGGTATTGTCGGACCTCTTGTAGAAGATGTTTTTGGTGTACTCGACGTCCATCCACACTCGACTTTGAGTTGAGAGCCTAGATTCTGATGTTGTCATGCGCGTGAACACGTGACTTCGCGACGCAAAGCTATGTGTGCGCGAAAACTGGTTTCGGTAGGTAGATGCCAACTCGACGTGCCGCCTGACCCTGCGACATGTTTATGGTCATCGCAAATGCGAGACAAACTGGGAAGTGTAGACGCTTGAGCTGGAACGGCAACGTGTTGTGCGGACCATCGTTGATGAGCTAGATGCTAGGTATGTAAACGACGTCGGTCAGTCAAATCGTAGCCTGAATGCACTGGTCACGCAATGCCCGCAGCATAAGTCGCGTTCCGTTGCATAAACCGTGACGTGGGCACGGGTTGCGCTGCAGCATGATAATGGCGTTGTCCTTAAGCTCGTGACGGTGTGGAGGGGGGTCAGGGATGTTGATGGAGTTGAAGAACTGTACGAGGTAGTTGACAGCGGCTTCTTCTTGTAGGCGGTCGTCGTCGTCGTTTGCTGTTGCAGCTTGTATCTCGTCTTCGAGAGCTTCGACACTGTCAGCGGGTGTGTAAACAGGCTGGTCTAATATCTAAGCTTCCGAAACTTGCTGCAAAGATGAAGCGTAAGCGGGTGCGGATTCCTTACGGGGCGGCGCTGGCGACAACGGCTTCGACTTCGTGAAGCAACGCAGCGAGGTGACTCTGTTTCCAAACGTCGAGGATCATGTCGGCGTTGACCGCCAATGAGATCGTGAAGGGCGAGTGAGCAGTGGTGCAACGGTGAAGGGTGAGCGCAGCGAGGCCCGTAGATGCAAAGGCAATCGCGACGCGTTCGTTGGACCGACACCATGCAAGCCGAAGGTTGGACCCGAAGCTCTTTCCAAAGCCCCCCTCGCCGCATAGAAAAATGGCGTCTTCGTTAGCTTGACGACTAGGGTGAGACCTGTGGCCTTACGGTCACACTCGTTGTGCGTATGCAGTAGCCATTGGAGCACCGAAAGTGCATGGGTAGCGGATCATTCGCTTGTTGCACGCTCGTCCCGAGTGTAAACAGCTTCTGCCCTTGAAATTGATCTGCCGCGCAGCGGTGAGGCAGCCGCGGTTTTGTTCTGCATCCGTCGGGTCCAGACGGCCAAAGTTGTGGTACAATGACCCATTAATGGTGAACGTAATTCTCGTTGGGAGTTATTAGGGATGGTACACTTCGTTGGCGTTGTTACTGCAGCTAAAAGAATGATTTTTCTATCTTGCTGTAGGCTGCCGACGATCTGGTGAGCACTTATGCTCGTCACCAATCTTGCCGTTGTTGCAGCAACGAGTCGAGTGTCAAGGCGGACCTTGCCTTTTGGTTTGGGGCGTCGACCTCGAGAACGTCGTTGATTGAGCAGCACGCGATTCGTGGACAGCGCGTAGTGCCGCACTTCGGTGACGTCGTCACCGATGAAATGTCCGCTTAATTCATCGTTACAGCTAGCTCGTTCTCAGCTTTCCCATCGTCGTCGTCGATCTCGGCGGCTGAATGTTGTCGGCATCGCAGTCGACCTCAACTTCATCGTTGTTCTTGGCGTCCTCGTTGAACTCGTCATCGTAGGCGCACGTAGCGGGTGCAAGCACAGGCTCTGTGGCTGTAGTTATTGACGTGACGCCGGCGGCAACGGCTGTACCTTTCTTTCGCGGGGCTGCCGAGGCCTCGAGTCGACCTTCGAGTGCCGTGGGAAGCTTCGAAATCCAGGAAGGCGGTGGATGGCTTGTCG